GCCAGGCTTGCCCCTGGCAGGGGCACTGTAGCCAGACTATGCCCCTTTAAGGGCTCCGGCGCCGGAAGCGGGGCAGAAGAGTTTCCCTGGTTGTACCCAGAGTGGCCACCAGGGCAAGCTGGGGAGGGCTAGCCTCCCACTAGTTCGAATTAAGTGGCTACACAGCCCTTAATTCGAACTACTTAATTCAAACTAGGCATTAGTCCTTGTAGAATGAGGTTTACCTAGTTCGAATTAATTGCTCCACTAGTTCGAATTAAGTTCAAACTAGCGGTTTGCATGTGTAGCGCCTATTAAAGTTAATTCGAACTAATGGCTGTTAGTTCAAATTAACTTTGTAGTGTAGACATACCCTAAGAGATTTGTTAGAGTGTTACAAGTGTCAAATGATAAAATAATAAAATGTTTAATGGAAAGAGAGGGTTTAAGTTTTATTGTTATTCTTGTGATTACATGTCTATATAGGTCTCAGGTTTTGTTAAAGACTGATGGTGCAATATTAGGGTATGTCTGCACTACCCCGCTAGTTCGAACTAGCGGGGTAATGTAGGCATACCGCACTTGCAAATGAAGCCCGGGATTTGAATTTCCCAGGCTTCATTTGCATAAGCAGGGCTCCGCCATTTTTAAATCCCCGCTCGTTCGAACCCTGTGCCATGCGGCTACACGCGGCACGAACTAGGTAGTTCGAACTAGGCTTCCTAGTTCGAACTACCGTTACTCCTCATTCCACGAGTGCGGTATGCCTACATTACCCTACTAGTTCGAACTAGGAGGATAGTGCAGACATACCCTCAGAGATTCGCCTTTTTCCTATTTATGAAGTCTTCCATAAACAAGCTGTTAATATATTTTGTAACACATAAAATTAATATATGCCATAAAGGTTATGTACAAATGTTAATGACAGTGAGCAGGATTTTTATTGTGCAGTTCATCTTGAGAGTGTTCCTACCACAATAGCTTTAATTTCCATCCTGTGCCTCAGACTCAGAAGATAGGACTGCTTATAAAAAGGAGCTAAAAGATCAGATATCATTCTAAAATAAAAAAATAAAATGTATGATGTTAAAATCCAATCTGAGAGATTAAAAATTCCATTGGCTTTCATTTCAAGGGCATGATCTAGTTTGTGATCTCTTCTTTCTGATCCTAAGAGAAGATGCTGTGGTGCAATCTTATAACATCCATCATCCTCCCAAAGCCCCACACTCAACTTTGCCCATGCATGTAGATGGAACCAGAACTATAAAATAGCTTCTTCTGTTTTAATATTTGAACTCAATCATCTCATTTGTGGCTGTCACTTCTGTGTACTTGTCATATATTCCCTGAGGGGATCACGTTATATACCTCACTTACCTCTGATCAGCAGAAATGGCCATCCTAATCAGACACATAAGGACATTGGCACTGTGAAATATGAAAGCAATAGGCCTCTTGGAAATAAAATCTCAGGCTCACATCCTACTTTATTATCAATCTTACAATCTGAAAGTCACATTCAGAAAATTATTTATTACACCTTTCTGTGGACTTTAACAATCTAAGCAGAAGGTGAACTGTAGTGCTCTCTTGCTCTCCAAGGTGGGGACGGGAGGCTGCTTTGCCTCCTTGCTTTGGGGTTTAGTCTTCGGCCTTGGGTCGCACCCATGGGACTGAGCCATAAGCAGTCTAGAGCTCTGGGCCGCTCTGACAGATGCAAACACAGAAGAGGCCCTTGTCCCTGCCCCTGGGAAGGGCAGCACCCTGTGGAGTCTCCAGCTTGTGGCTCTACAATAGGGCTGACAGCTATGAACAGTTTAGAGCCCTACCCTATGGGCAGGACTGGACTAGTAGCAGTCAGCAGCCTAAGTGTCCCAGCAGAGAACTTATGGGCTTATGGGCTCAGGAGGACAGCAAATATACACACTCTCAAGTTTCAGACTCACACTCTCTATAGGGCTCCAGAGAGTTTGAGCACCCAGCAGGTAGTCTAGGGTGCTAGCAGGGCTATTCAAATGTCACAGGTCTCCTGGCCTTAGGTTGAGAGATTCAGCCTTTCCCATTGCAAAATCCACCTACAATCTAGAAGTGATTGGCCCTGTAGCTGCCCAGATGTCAGCTGCCCCTTGGCTACTTCCTACCTCCCCTGGGGTTTGGTACCTTGGGCTCCTCTGCTTAGAGGCTGATGATAATCTCGGCAACTCTCTGTCTGTGTCTGTCTACTCCAGGAGTAGGGTGTGGCAAAGCATAGATTCTGCTCCTGGGCACTGCGGTAGAGCAGAGGTGTCTGTTGCCTCTGCTTGCTTCACCCCTACCCAAACGGAGCTGCATGACCATCTCTTTATACTTCCTGCCCCATATCACCCCAGTACTTCCAGCAAGCAGGGCAGGGTGGATTCAGCTCTATCCACTCATGAGGGACGTAGTGCTCCCTTATTCTCCATTCTGGATGGAGGCCACTCTGCTTTGGTGCAAGAAGTGAAAGACTTTTAATCTTTTAAATCCTCAGTTCACTGTTGTTTTACCTTATAGCCATTAAAGAACATTATCAGAACAGAGACTCCTAAACCACTAATATTTACAAGAAAAACAACTCATTGCTAATTGTGTCCCCTCTGAAAGAAACTATTTTACCTTGTCAGCAGTAACAGCTAATCCATTTTCAAACACTGGCATTCACTCACTTTCTC